AACAAATGAAAACTGCTCAAGGCCTAAAAGCATTCCTTAGAATTGACTGCTTTTCTCAAATGTTTAAAATCATTTTGTTTTATTTTTATTACTTCATATGTTTCTGTACCACTTATGAAGTTTATTGAAATTCATTAATTGATGATTTAAAGATGTATAAAGCTTAAATTTGTACTTACCCAATTTTTGTGAAATCGTTGTATCTATCCTGTGAGTAGAAGATTGTTATCTATATTATTTATTTATTTCCCTTTGGCACATTAGTACAGAATATTTAGCTGAAAGAACATTTTGAGTTATTTATGTATGCAATCTATTTGGAAATGTGACAAAGATTTTTTTTGTTTTTTGAAATTTACTTAAGCTAGAAGGTAAACTGATTTAAAGGACTACCTTGAATTAAAGCACCACCTTGAATTAGAACTCTACCTTGTTCGTTTAAAGGAAAAACACGGCCTTGCTAAGTCTTGTTGGGTGTCTCACTGCTCTCACTTTTCTTACATGGCTTTCCTCTTTTTTTTTTTTTTTGTTTGTTTGTTTGATTACATTCAGCTCCATATTCTACCAAGGAGAACCAAACTTTAAAGCAATATCACAATTATGTATCTTCTCTGACTCTTCTTTTTGCCTAAGAATTTGAGCTTTTTAATTTCATTTTAACCTGAAGATAGTTCATGTATCTGTTCTGCGTACATTTTCCTATGTTCTGTGAGACAGTTCTAGAAATATTTCAACTTTTTTTTATTTCTGTTATAGCACTAGTGTGCGACTTTGAGTTGGGAAAAAAAATGTTATTTTAAATGTGCTTATTAAGTAATTCTTTCTCTCCCTTTTTCTTTCTCTCCTTCCTCTGTTTATTTTCCAGATTATTAGTTTATTAAATGTCTTTACACCCCAGAAAACGCTGGAGGAGTTCCAAGATGTGTAAGTAACAAAATTCATGAAGGAAGGGAGAGCATAGCTCTCAAATAACTCAAGGGAAAATGACAAAAAATCAAATGGATAAAATCCCTTGTAGAGATCAAAGAGACTTAAGAGCTTGGCAGCAAATGAAAGGGATCCAGTGAGAGGACAGAAGATCCTGTTTATGGTGTTACTTCCTGGAAAGATGCTTCTGCTTCTTTCTGGCCTTTTGGCTCCTTGTGCTTTGTTATTCCATGTTCTTGGTTCAATCAGGGAAGGCTCATTATGTATTATGTATCTATCTATTATTAATTGATTCTGTGAACTTTCTAGAATGAGTCAATTTATTTTGAAAAACATTAAGAGAGACATGATAAAAATTATCTTTAAGCTTTACTTGTATTTTTGTAGTGCCTTTGATTTTGTGTAAAAAGAATCTACCTTTAAGTATAGTGACAATAGAAAGAGAGGAAGTAAATCCAGGCACAGATACATTGCATGTTTAACACAGATACATTTCTTATTTAACACAGAAGCATTGTATTTAATGGAAGAAGCGATTCTGAATATATTTTTTTGTAATCATAATAGAAAAGAGTTCAGGAAATTCAAGGAAAAGTGAGAACAATATGAAAGTAGAAAAATAGATGGGTAGAAACCACACATTAATAAATGCTTCTTCTGTTAGCAAACTTGCAGTAGAGTTACCCTTGCTAACATGCATGCAAAACTTGGAAGTTTTTCACAGTCTTAATTCAGTCAAATGTAGAGCTAGAGAATTCAGAAGACTACAGATTTAGGAGAGGATTCTCATTTGTTTGAAGGACTTCATGGGTCTTGTGATCTGGAGCTAAATTGTGGATTTACCTTCCAGTTACTTAGTAATGGAACTGATGGATGCCAACTTGTGTCAGGTGATTCAGATGGAATTAGACCATGAGCGAATGTCTTACCTCCTATACCAAATGTTGTGTGGCATCAAGCACCTCCACTCTGCTGGAATTATTCACAGGGTAAGAACACCTACTTCTGAATTATAATTAAGATGTTTTTGGAGAAGAAAAAGCAACTGTAGATGATTTTCTTTATGTAGGGAGCTTGGTTAAATATACTGTCCTTTTTCATTTCTTTTATGTTAGAATTAGCACGTAGCTCACTATATGTAGAAGGAAACTTTAATAGTGTAGTTGATTTTTGTTTAACATTTTATTTCAGCACATTGAGAGTCAGCCTCTGAGAGGCTTATATTTTCTAGCCCCTTGATTGGCAGAGGTCATATGTGCAGTTGAAATAAGACAGTTCATTTACATGATTTGTTTCTGACAGCAACAAGACAGCTATCCTGATCTGCTCTCCTGTCAGGCCTAGAAATGAAATATAAGCTGAAAGGTTTATGTTTCCATAAAGAGAAAGCTAACAGATGACAATAAAGGATATGTATTTTTTCTAAAACCTCTTCCCAAGATGAGCCTAAATTATAAAAATGATAGTACAATTCTCTTCTAGGTTTAAAAAAAGTTTCTGAGGATATTAGAAAAAAATCTAAAAGCTAATCATAAACTCATTTGGGGTAGTAATCATCTGCTTTATGTAGGGCTCTGCAGTACGTGGGGTGGGCATCAGTGTTATTGTAAGACTGCCACATTGATTGAGTAGATAGAAATCACATGTTCCATATGATGCTGGCTTTTCATTTTTTCTTTTGTTCCTATTATCAGGATTTAAAACCAAGTAACATTGTAGTCAAGTCTGATTGTACATTGAAAATCCTCGACTTCGGACTGGCCAGGACGGCAGGCACAAGCTTCATGATGACTCCTTATGTGGTGACACGTTATTACAGAGCCCCCGAGGTCATCTTGGGAATGGGCTACAAGGAGAACGGTAGGGATGCCTCTGAGTAGCAGCCATGGAGACCGGGAAGAAAATGAGTACATGTTTCAGATAGATAAACGTAATGTTCTCTTTCATGTATATGATTTTTTTTTTTAAACAGGGCTGCCAGCCTTCATATTTAGAAGTTTTTGATTTTTAAATACTAAAAAGAATTACTCATTAAAAGTGTGAAGGATGTTTCTGAGAAGTAAGCTTTACTAAAAGAACACTAAAATGAAATAGCTAAAAAGAATTGTAAATGGAGTCTGATTAGACAGTCAAGTGGATACTAATGAGTGCACATGCTGTAGATACTGAGAAAAATTGCTATTGGGTTGCAGCTCAGCTCAAAGTGAGTATGAAAACAGGAAGAAATCTGTCTATTGCATTTAACTATTTGGTTCTATATCATATATTAGAGAGATGGCTCTGGTCATAGGAAAAGGTAAACAAAAATACACGACAAATCCTTGGAACGGGAATATCACAAATGCACAATGAATAGTCAATTTAGAATAATCCAAATTGTTCAAGTTGGATAAGAGTTTCTTTAATACTTTAAACTGCTCTACGATTAATATTTAGGATAGCGATTGCCTAGAAAATTTTTATAAATTCCAAAAACCACACAGAGAGAAAAATATTTTATATTACTGCTTTCATAAAGAAAATCTAGTATTAATGAACACTTTAAAGGAAAAGATAGAAAGAATTTTCAAAATGTATTACAATTTGATTTTATTGATTAAAATAAAGGATTTATAAAATGCCTATAGAAAGCATTGCAATAAATTATTTTGAAAAAAAAACTCCAAAGAGTAATACAGCATATTAAAAAACATATGCAATATATTTAGGAATTAAAATAGTTTTAAATTAGGATTGTTATATGTACTCGGTGTACCTTTCATATTTATTTTTATATTTTATTATATTTAGTCCTAACAGTCTGTTTTTATAAGTTCTATAAAAATAATTATCAGTGTATTTTTATGGGCAGCTGTTACAAGGTACTTTTATGAAAATTTCCTGGCCACCAAATTTTAAAAAATGTCTTTGAGTACTTCCAGATTAGAAGAGAGGCAATACTTTCGTGAATTTGTGTAGAGGAAGAGGAAAAGTCAGCTCTTGGGAAGGTCAGAATCACTTTGGTGGACAATGGCAAAATTCTGTTACCTTTTGACTTGGGGCTAGACACATCTAGCCCATTTTCTAAGGCAATATCACATCTAACTTATTTGGAAAAGAAGATATTTGTATACATTCTTCACAAGTTATTTTTTAAAAATCAAAGGGGAACCAGTTTACAAATTCAAGAAATCAGGGCTATACAAGGGTTTGGGGATCCGAATTTGCCTTTTATGGCTTTTCAGATCTTTGCTGCAGAAATGGCATATAATTTTATTGCTTTTCCTTTCCTCACTACAAAGGATTGCAAGATACTGTCTTAGTTTTTTGGCATCTCTAGATCCATGACAAAGCCATACCAAGCACTCTTGTGCTGTCCTCCCACTTACGTATGGGAAGAAGGTTATCATGCAGAAAAACTCGCTTGCTCCAACATCAGGCATGCCCACCTAACCTATGCACCTAACCCTGCCTTTCTTCCCCAAGGAGCATTTTGGCCTAATGTTTTTGCCTCGAAGTTCCCTTTGTCCTTACTAAAAAGCCATTCGGAAGAGGGAAAAGATTGGTTAGAGAAGGTGAAGCATGTTTGTTAACAAGTATAACTGAGAAATAAATCCATGTATGTAACATTTTTTAACACCTTTAATATTTTTTTTTCGCTTTACTTCCAGATGACTCTTTTATACATGTGCTAATTAATCATATATGTTTTTTTCTTGAAATATTTCTAATAGAAACTAAAACTAATATTTATTTACAAGGATTACTTCTGAAGGAAAAACTAAGTCCTGAATACTAGGGATTCTAATCCTTCTGCCTTTAAAGTATGGTTTCAGCCATTTCTTAGTTTCTTGGATTTGGTTGCAGGTACCAAAACCAAAAAATAACCAAACAAAAAGGTGGTCTTTTGTTGCCCTACTCCACGCAACTGAATCGAAGAGAAAATGGAAACAGCTACATGTGCGGGTTGAGTAAGACACTTTTGGTTTAGCTGCTGCTTTTCCGTGTCACCACTTCCTGGTACTAATGAGGCAATCTAAGGCACCCATAAAGTAGTTTTTTAAAATTAATTTGAATTCTCACACTAGACATTGTTTCTGTAATATTATAGTGCTGATTTTAATGCACAGTTTTGAACAACTTTTGGTGGGAAACAAAATTGTACCTTCTAATCAAACTGTTCTTTTTCCTTCTCCTTCAGAGATCAATTATCTTAGTTAACTTTACTTTCCTCCCTTTTCTTCACTTCCCTCTCTCCTGTTCTAGTGGATATATGGTCTGTGGGATGCATTATGGGAGAAATGGTTCGCCACAAAATCCTCTTTCCAGGAAGGGACTGTATCCTTGTACCTTTTGCTGCAGCTTTACCTGTTTTGTTCTCTCTCCCTTTAAACACATAATGGTTTTACCAGGAGAGTAAAGATAGAAGCAAAAAGTTGGGTAAGTGGTGTAACTGATTTTTTTAAAAAGTGATAATTTTTATAATCTGACCAGTACTGAAGACTACTTACCAATTAAATTTCAATGGGCTTTTTTTTCCTTAAATTATTTTCTTTTCTATAATTTAAAGTAGCAATGCTATTTTTTTCATCAATGAGAGGCCACCAAATCTCACATGATTAAAAATATATTTATTTTTATCACTAGAGAAAAAGTCACTACTTGCAAGTATTTTCCATCTGCTTTCTAAAACTATTTTGTGCTTCTAGAACATTTAGGAATAATAATTTCTCTCCTTGCTGACGTCTTAAGCTTTTGTTTACAGCTTCATTGATTTGAATTATTCCTGACACTATGTTCAGTCTTAAATAGGTCTATGTAGCATTTTCTCCTTAAAACATGCACTTCCACATTTAAAAATCTTAATTATTATTCAAATTGCCAGATGTTTGGTGGGTTTAAAATAGGCTTCCCTCACTTGACTTGGAGATGTGACTTAAACATAGATAATTGCTTTTCCAACAAAATTTAGAATTTTAAACAGCAGTGTTGATTTGAATTCTACCACTGAATCCTGTACTAGATTCCATCAGAAATTCCTGAGTGATATCTATGATTTGGAATTGTTAAATGAGCTGGTATATTTCTGAAATGACCAAAAGCTTACTTTCTAACAAAGGCACATATTTATCATTGTAGTATATAGATAATAAAGTTTATGTGGTAATAGAAAATATACTTTTATAAATACAGAAATACTTGGCCAATACACAGTACTGAAATCTAAGTACTACAATTATGGATAATTTTAACAATGATAATGCAAGACTGAGTCCAGTGTCTTTACTACATATGACGTTTTTGGAAATTGGCAATAAAACTGTGGTCCATAATTCCATTAAATATTATATATGATTGATAAGAAAGCTCTATTAAGGAACTCTTTTATTATATAAGAAGGATTATGATTATTATTTAATAGATGTAAAGTAGAAGAAAAGGCCTATATAAAAGAAAACCAAATACAGTAAGTACTTAATACCACAATGAGCACACATTTATGTGGGCGTTTATTCATTCTTCTGGATATTAACAAGATATTCTCTAAATTCCAGAATAGTGGAAGAGTAATGACATTTTCTAAAACTATACTGTCTAATATGTAGCCACTAGCAACATGTAGCATTCAGCAATTGAAATTATGGCTATTCTGAATTGAGAGGCGTTATATGTGCAAAATGTGTACTAGATATTGAAGCTATAAAAAGAAAACGTAAAGTATCTTAATAATTTATATATTGATTATGTATTAAGGTACTTTTTCATTTTACTTTATATTTACTATTTATATTTTGAGGATTAGTTATATATCCAATGTAGTTGATTTGAACAATATCATAATTCATTCATATTTAAATGTACTAATTTCATTAAAAAGTGTTTTTTTTCCTTTGTTCATTTGTCTTAAGGATATAATACTTTTCAAACCCACTCCCCCAAAAAGGAAATTCTCAATCAGTTCTTAAAGTGAATAGCCACATCTCTATAATGCATTGTTAGTGAAAGACAAAATGTCACAAAATATCTCATTTCCATGTGGCATTGTTCTTACAGGTTGTTTGATTTTCATGGTTCTCTGCAATCTAATTTAGCTCTTCAGACATTTATCAGGGTTGCTTTTCATTTATTTTAACAATATTAAATTTAAAAGCCAAAAAATGAGGAAAAATCAAAACATTTTTAACCCAAAATAATTCTTCAGAAAAACAAGCAAAGATAATAACACCACATTGATAATTCCACATTCTTCCACAGATTGTTCTCTTCAAAGTCTTTTTTTCCCATTTATTCTAGTTTATGTTTTAGAAAAATGTTTGTAACTTAAATTGTGCAAAAATCAATGCATAAAATATATATTTTTGATAAGTTTAGTACTAGAAATTGAATAAATCCTATGACAGTAAATGTAGATTGTTATAAGGGTTTGCATTCTGAATTCTTTTGTCTCATGTGATGATTATATAGAATATCAGTCTTTGATAGCCTAGTGCCATTTATGATAATGATGCTGAATGAGGACCGAAAGAGTAAACAGAGAAATTACATAAAGACATTTATAGTAGAAAACATCTTGCTTAAGTTAAACTCTACTTAAATATGAGTAAATAATTTCCAGATGAAATGAATTAGAAGAACTGCCATCTCATTGAAAATGTTCTATTTGAATTTAAATCCTTAGTTCATTTTACCTATAAGTAAAATTATAATTTAATGTCTTAAGTCATGGCTATATTTTAAAAATAAATGAACCCATAGAAATCCCCATTAAACAATGGACAACATATTCTGTTTTTTTGAGTGGAATTGTTTTCTTAACCTTTGCATGAAATTATTACCATTTTATGAGTAGAGCTTCCTCCTGAATCAAGAGACCAGAGCACTGAACTAACCTCACTAAACCGTGATGACCAGACACAAGTTGAGGTGCCAATGGAGGTTGTGTATATGGAGAAGAATCATGCTAATATATTGAGATCTAAAGGATTCTATCATTTACTGGAAGTAATTTCAAAGTTTAGTATATGCAAATTGATAACCATGACTACCTCTAAGATTTTCAGAGACTTAAAAAGAAAATTAATCATAGGTTCTCTTGACTTTCACTTAGAATTATTCAGAGTAATTTATGTAGAATTTCTCTGAAGCTAAAAAATGGTGTGATGATACTCTATCATCATAATCGACAGAACTTTTTAGTGTTCCCTTTCTTAATCTGCATCTTAAGCAAAAGTAGTAAAACATCTTGACAAATCAAGATATCTTATGAAATTGTCATGGATAACTTAAAGTGTTAGCCACTTTTTCACTTAAAACTGTCTTTGCATTTGAGAAATATTGCGTGGGTTTCTTGGCTATCAAGATATGATCCAGATGATATCACAGGGTAGTTTTTTGATTAGTAAGTTAAAGTATTGGCTAAATAAATAAGTAAATAAATATTCATATTTGCTTTTTCCATTAACTAGTTTGCTAATCTTTTAATATCCAAAGAGACATTTATAAAATATTTAATTTTTATTACATAGTTTTTTTAAATGATACGAACATACACTGTTATACACTCAATTTTCACTATACTGTTATGATTAAAACCTGTTTCATAGTATATATGTTGACAAAATATGCAGTATTGCTAAAATGTCTTAGACCTATGATGAATTCAAGTTAGAGAGCAATAGATATACCAAGCCCATTATTTTCTTTATATAACCCAAAGATCATATGAGGTGTCAGTGACTTTACATTTCATTCAGATTTTTTTCTTTTAATAAGGACTTACAATAAAGCAGTTTTGTGATGGTTTCTTAGAAGGTTTTGTTGACTTTTTTTTAGGACTATCTAGTCACTCCTTTCACCCACTTCGAACTCCAACCTAGGCATGCCATATTCTTGATTACTGAAGGCTCATTCATATACTACCAGTATAGTTTTCATGAGTTCTTTCCTTAAACTTGCTTCTTATAGACACTCTCTTTCTACTTTATTGTTTTTCCATTCTACTTCAAGTGGCAGCACCTTCTTTGAACGAGGCTCGTAATAGTCCCTTTATTTAGAGTTTTTGGATGGCATGCTCTGGACCTGGGTGATGTTAAAGACAGACACAGTGTATTCATTTGAAACTTCTATGCCTCAAGTATATTATCTCTAATTAGCACTGACAATTGCACTGCTAAAATACCCCCCTCTTGCCTTTCCCTCTGAAGATACAAGAAATTTCAGTTAGAATTAAAAGAATATATACATATAACCTCACCAAGGAGCCACGTTGTTAAGGAAGAGGCAAATGATTTTTCAAAACATATTTGAAGAAGTAAATACTAAATTAAAGAATTAGCTAAATAAATAAATATTCATATTTATTTATTTATTTACAAAGTAATTGAATGTCATATCTTTTCTAAGCTTGAACATGGAAATTAGGAATATTTAAAGTAAAATACACAAAAATTGGAGATGGTGGATTATAATATTCATTTAGTGCAGACAAATGTTCGTAATCCTTTTTACCTCCTTGAAATAACTGTGCTTACTTCCTAATAAACTTTTGCAACTAATACCTTGCTATAATTTGAGTCTGTTTCCTAATATTAGGGTAACTCAGGGTTCTTTCAAACAAAACATAATTTAGGGCTTTAAATAAAATTGGGATGTAAAAATCCAGTGATCATTCTTTCACACCAAGCAAATTGCAGATAATCATAAACATAAAAAAGATTATTCATTTATTATTTCTTTGTATTTATTTAAAAGAATATATTTTCACCATTAATTTGCTTACTACTCTTCTCCATTATTACTATTTTGAGAAAATCTGAGTGAGACAGGAATCACTAGAATGAGAGTTGGAGATTTTGTGGGGATCCGAATAGATGGATGGAAGTCATAGATATAAGAAGGAAATCCCTTCTCCAAGGTGTTTACAGTAATAGACCAGAGTCCACTAGAGGGCAGAGGAAGGCATAAAGGTCCTAAAAGTTGTTTGGTGAGTTATACAGCCAGGAGGCAGAAAGTGAGGGAGGACCCAGAGCATGGGCTTCTGGGGAGGAATAAAAGGCAAGAAATTGAGGAGCTGGACCTCGACCCCTTGATGCCTTGGAGAGGAATCTACTGAATGCTATCATGCACAAAACTTCACTAGAACTGCCGGGGCCCCAGAAGTTTCCTGTCTGTTGGAAATGTATGTAGAAGGTTTAAAAGCATGTTGTTTTTTCCTGTCCCTCTACAGTTCTGTAGGTAGATTACTGAGCAATCTTTAAAAATGAAGTGAAATATTCAAGGCGTGGTGAGAAACTACAAACAATAAAATGCATTCCTTAGTCATTGCTGTAATATTCCAT